TTGCTTATTGCCAATGCTTTCTATAGCTAATCTCTATATTCCTGTGTCTACTCTAAAAGCGTGAGTAAATCATTTTATCTTAAATTAAACTGCCGACGGGAAAGATTATCCCAATTCCCAGCACAGAACTTACATATCCAAAGAAATTAAAAACTGGGACAATCTGAGTAAATGAACAAACTCAGATTCAACTAATTTTCTGAAGCAAGATTTGCCAACAATACACCGCATCAAGTCAACTGAAATAGTAGAATATTATAGCCACCTTGTCATTTTCACCATGTAGCAAGAGAATTTGATGGACTAAAACTCCAATTTACAATCAATTACGATTCAAATTTGTATTAAAGCAAAGAGAACAGAAATCAACAGTTTCAGCAGCTGGAAAACAATGAAGCTTAAAAACTACCAATACGAAGATGCTGAAACGTAACAAAATCGTTGTCAGAAACTTTAAACATCCGAACAAGTTAAGCAACCAAAAACCGTGGGACAAACAAACGGATCTCGGAGATAAACGAAGAATTGAAAACAATCGGAAGATTACAGAACCAGAATTGGATAAAGAAATCAATGTTTCATGAGAGAAGCCTCTAGATTCCGACATTGATGCGGAGAAAAAACGCTGCGGAACAGGAGCGAGAGGAGTTTACCTGAAAAGAGGGACCTGAAGTATGATTAAGACGAAGTAGATGCGCGAGGCTATCCACGGGACGTTGTTCAACCATCGTTTTCGCGAAGATGGCGATGAAGAATTCGCCATTATTGCCTAATTTCCTTCCGCCGTACAGAGAGAGAGAGAGAGAGAGAGAAGAGAGACGGATGGTACGGAGAGAGAGAGAGAGAGAGAGAGAGGGGGGATCTGGTGCTTGTAGTCATACAGGAAAAGAAAATATTAGTTAGTACCTAAACGGCGTAGTTTCATAATCTTCTTCATGTTTAGAATATTTATCCAGAAGAGTCAAGACTCAAAGAGTGCTGTGCCGAAGCGGTGTAAACGGCTTCGTTTCAAGAGAGAGACAACCTTACCAGACTAATTATTATCTTCGTAGTTCGAAGAACACAAAATATTACTCTCTCCGGTCTCCGTGTCAGTAAAGTAAAGAGTAAGAACCGCTTCTCAAGCAAAAATGGGTTTAGCTTCAGCGCTTAACGCTCCTTCCATCGGCCTCCAATGGGCCGCGTGTCCCGGCGGCGAACCCGTCCTTCTGGGCCGCCGACCGGCCCATCTCGTTCTGCCGCCTCAACGAATTCCATCTCGGTCTGCGTCCACGCTTGTCTTCTCTCGCCGTCGAAACCGCAACTCGGCAATCACATCTCCGAGAAAGAACAACAAGGTTTCATAGAAAAGTTATTTCTTTTGTTTTTTAATTTGATTTCATTTTTTTAATTTAGTTAAAATTTTCCGCTTTTTAACTTTAATAGCTGCAAAAGTTGGGTAGAAATGGAGGTTTGGAAGAGGAGGAAGAAGAAATCGATGATGATGCTTTTGAGGCGCTCTTTAGGCAGCTTGAGGAAGACCTTAAGAAGGACGATCCATCTCTGTTTGACGGTGACGACGACGACGAAGATATAAGCGAGGAAGACCTCGCTAAGCTTGACGAACAAATTGCCGAGGTGTTTGATATGACTGGTTACGACATTGATGAGGAGGATGAGGTTATTGAGATGGAAGAGGAAGACGAAGACGAAGACGAGGACGGGGACGAAGAGAAGGAGGAGGAAGAGGAAGAAGAACAACCCGTGACGCTTAAGAATTGGCAACTTCGGAGATTGGCTTCCGCTTTGAAAATCGGTCGTCGGAAGACCAATGTATGTATTTGATTTTGTTAAGAAGTTCATGAACTTTCGGTAGTAATGTTGGATTGGATGCTCTTTTACAGATTGTGCTCTTTTTTATTTATTTATTTATTTTTGTTAAAAAAATGGGGAACGTTACAATTTACAATTATCAATTATAAATCACATGAAAATTGTCTAACTCCGGAACTCGGATAAATAGGTGGTAGTTTATAATTTGTTGAAAGATGAATTTTTGGTGCTTATTGCTTGTACTGTATCTCAAATATTTTCGTTGGAAAAGGGTATTAAAGAGATATATGATTGATTGGAAGTACTGTTCTTGTATAAATAAAAATAAAAAATAAAAAAAAGGGCTTCATTTTAAATTTTACCCATATTCATCCCACGAGTTTATGTCCTTTGTCAAATAAGTACAGTTGTTTCATTATTTATCAGTGAAGGTGTGGCATTTGTTTGCAATAATTTCACTTTCAATTTTAGTTATATTAGATGAGCATTTTTAAGAGCACCTGAGAATAGAGCCTAACTATTTGCATTGTAATGCAGATCAAAAGTCTTGCGGCCGAGCTGTGTCTCGACAGGCCTGTTGTTCTCGAATTGCTACGAAATCCCCCTCCAAATCTTCTGATGATGAGTGCTGCTTTGCCTGATCATGAGCCTCCTCCGACAATAACTGTCACTGAAGTGAAGACCATAGAAACTGTTGTGGAGAAGACAACTACTCCCAAATCAGACACTGCGGAGAAGGTTCCGGTTCATGTCATGCAACAAAGATTCTCCAACCAAAAGAGGCTGAAGAAAGCTCACCTTCAAACTCTTGAAGATGTTTATAGAAGAACAAAGCGACCAACCGTAAGTGAAGTTTCTATTATCTTTCCCGTATTAGTTTTCATGGCTAGTGAAGCAATTTACTGCATTTCTTGTTGCCACGTAAAGTGAGATATATAATTCTGTCTGAAACTCATTTTCATGATCTGGGGTAGTTTCCTAATTATGGTAGTTTACTAATTATGGTCTGTGTGTGTGTGTGTTTGATAAACGACACAGAATGCGATGATTAGCAGCATTGTGCATGTGACAAACCTGCCCCGCAAGAGGATTGTGAAATGGTTTGAGGACAAGCGTTCTGAAGAAGGGGTTCCTGACCAGCGGATTCCATATCAACGATCTGTTCACAATACTGTTCAATGAAGGAATGTATAGACAGAGGCATGCACTTGGTAAGTTGTATGTTATGTTATGTTTTACTTACAAGGAGTAGATGAAGAATTACTTGCTTTGTTTTTCATGTCGTAGAAATCTAAAAGTATGTTGTGATACTACTGCTAAGCTTAAGCCTAAGCCTAAGCCTAAGCTTTACTCTGGAGGACTCTTTTTGGGCTGAAGCCTTAGTTTGGAAATTGGAACAGGATTCTCCTTATATAATGCCATCTCAACGGTGGCATTTCTTTTGTTATTTTCTTGTGATTTTTTTTTTTACTTGTTTGATTATTTATTAAAAAAAAAAAAAAAAACACACACACACACACACTCTCTTTTGCGAAGTTGGAAATAACTGAAAATTCTGAAATACAAACTACGAAGTGCGTCTTTTTCATGATTGAATACGAAATGTCTTCAAACGAACTACAGTAATATACTCTAAACGACATATCGTTTTTTAGGGTGGCAACGTTTTACATGTCAGCTTCGTTCTCAATTGATGTCGTTATACATTTTATTGTTGTCTTTTTTTTTTCCCCCGTTTTGTCGTTACAATTTTTGTGTCCTTTGCGTGGTGGTGATTATTGTTCAAGTTAATGTAGTCTCCATTAGATTCTCATCTTTCATTTCCCGTTGTTTTTAGTTGTCTTTTCAAACTCAAGACGACAAAAGATTTGCATTAAAGCATATCCCCATTAACAGAAAGCATATCTTAATTTTTTTTAAGACCTTCTCCGGTACGTTAACGTATCAGTAGACTAAATATTTTATACGTTAGATCTGTATAAAATCATATAAAAGTTAAAAAGTACGCAGATTGAACGGTTAAAAAACCTAACTGAATCTCCTTTTTTGTTATTCGACTTTGCTCTTTTTACATTTTTTTTTTTCCGTTACACTGGATACAAAATATAATGAATAAAAGCGAGCTCAGAACAAGAGCTACCTCCACTTAGATGCCAATACTAATAATACTAATACTATCATCCCCTGACCTGCTTAGCTGTGTCCTTGGCTGTTCCAACACACAATTTCTTCTCTCTAAGAAAAAGTTACTTTAAGATAGAAAGGGAAAGATCCTTTTGTGTAAATATTGGGGGGGACGAAACGGGACGAGTCCCTTGTCGAAATAAAAATTAAAAATTAAAAGAAAAAGAAGCCCCTGGGGCAGTGCTTGAGAAGGAAACTAGGGAAATGGAGTCTCTATTTTGAGTCTTAAGATTCCTGGTACATATTCGGGAAAGAGACGTATACGATTCTTGGTTTTGAAGGTTGTGTCTTGTGTGGGAATGAATTGGTAAAATGACTTTTGGGACCAGGACTACAAGAAAAGAAGAAATTTCACTTTCGATCAGCAGCTCGTCAATTTCCAATTCACTATTAGACTTATCACCAACACCAAGTTATGATCATACCATCTTTTTTTTTTTTTCTTTTTATTTGGAATAGTAGCGTACCGTGTGTTACTACAAATATGTAGTTCAACAATAATTATTTCGCGAAAGTAAAAACAAGGATAAAATTTTCAAAAAACATTGAACTTCTTGCAAGTTCGGATGGACTCAAAACCACCTTACACATCGCCTAAACAGGTTTTAGAGTTAGGTTGACACCACTTTATGCAATAGCCTCCTTCTGTATAACTTCGTTTTTTTTATTTTAATTCTTTTAATTTTTTTAGGGTTTATTTTACAACTCAAGTTTAAAACTTGAGTTGTGTATGTAAGAGAAAAACACTAAAATAAAAAAAGTTTATTTAAATTTTTTTGAGAAAAAAACAATGTAGTAATAGAACTTGTAAAAAGAACGAATCCTTTGCGTATGTGGTTTACTATTATTGAGGCCCCTTCTCTTTGTTTTGGCTAAAATGATGATTCTATTATAGTAATAAAACAAAAGCCCCAAAACGATGATTATCTAAACTAAATCACGTTATCTATATTTGCTAGTTACTATTTGTAAATAAATGGAAATTATAGTAATATGAACCAATAAAGGTTTTCTTGACATTTCCCAATTACAAATCAGTTATCACATCGAATAATTGCAATTGGTATAAACGTCACCATTTTTACCTAAAAAAAATAGGAAAACGTAGGAAAATGTTGTTAGAGGACCAAACAAATATGCAACTAACGAATCCTTCATCAAATCAAAAGAGGAAAAAGAAAGGTCCTCTCTCTTAGAAAAAAAAAAACCAAATTGTACGAGCGCTGCACGTGCGCATCACCACGCTGCAGATATTCAAAGTGCTGCCATGGCATTATTCGTAAATACACACCACATTTTACAAAATCGAGAAACAATGGCCCTGTTCGGTTGTCTTTAGTTTAATGGAGAAAGCCCATTCGAGTGAAGAAATATGGCCCAAGTTAATGTTCGTCGTATGAGACTCGAGACCAAACTCAAAATTGAACTCAAGTTTCCCACCCATTCTCGAGTTAATGGAGAGCCACTTACTCGAGTTACTCTTCTAAACTTCTACAGTGGTCTTCCTGAGAGATTCCCCGCCGAAGCTGAGGTCTTCTCCTTCCACACGCTACCCTTCACGTGCTCCTCTGCTCGAGATTTCCAACTTCAGATCTCAAAAAATTTCTTCCATTATGCTCGAGATTTCCAGCTTCAGATCTCAAATACAATTTCTTCCATACTCGTTTGCTACTTCAACGTTATAGACCTTCCTCCCCCAAACCCAATTGTTTTCCCCTATACCTGCAATTAGAAACCCTAGCCCCCAAATATTGTCGCTTCATTTGCATCCTTTTTGTTTCCCGTTCAAAACGGGAAAATTTGTAGCAAACCCATCGGTTCGGCAACCTCGGTGGGTTAACATCATCATCCGATGTAGAAGCAAGAGCTCACGGCGTACTGCTCTCCAATTGCGACATCAAACATCCTTCCCCTACCGTTGTCGTCGGCGGTACCTCAAACACTCTAACCCTTCCTCACGTTTTGGGAATCTCGAAGGGGATCAAATTTCCTCCTCCGTTGGCTCATATTCGGTAAGTATAGAACCAACTCCTTTGATTAATTTCATATGTGTTATGATCTTGTGTGATTTAACATCCATAGTCACTAAGCTTGTGTGATTTTAACCTCAGTGGACTCAAATTTTTCGAGCATCCGAACCCTAGCTTACTAGGTTTAAAAAAACAAAATCACTAATCATTGTTGGCAATTGAGGGATAGTTCGCAAGGGAAAAAACAATAAGTAGGCAATTGAGGAACAGTCCGAAAACAATAAGTAGGCAATTGAGTGACAGTCTGCAGGGGAAAAAAAGAAAGAAAGGTGAATTAGATGACTACCCCACTGGAGTCCTTGCGTCTGAACTTTTCTATCACAGTTTTCCTAGCATAGAGGAGAGAAGGCGTAGGACTAGTAGTAAGGGAATCAGAAATATGGACCTCTAGTGTTTTTTTTTTTTTGTTTGTTGGTTCGCTTGGTTGTTTTTAGTGTTCATTTTATGCTATGTAATTTGATATTTTTAGAAGCAGTAACCATAAAGCTATGTGATATTAAGCTTTATAACCATAAACTTTTAGCTTCTAAACTTCAAAATTGCTATCAAAGCCATTACATTTCTCAGTCATGAATTCTTGTGCAATTTGGCTCTCCTATTGATCTCTTTTCGTGTTTGATTTAGGTGAAAGTACTGCTATATGCTAGTTCATTTATGACTGTTATTTTTTGTACATGGTCACCGTGGCTATGATGATTCCAGTCTGTTTGATGGCCTAGTTCCTTATGTCTAGTGATATTCAAACTTATGGTAATTATTGGTTGCCGGTTTATCTAATTACTCTTGGTTGGTATGTTTGATTTACTTCACCCTAAATGCCTTCTCGATCAATATTCCTAAGTTAGGTAAACCTTGGTAGCATACTTGGCATTGCCTAAGATAATGCTCCATACCGGATTTGTATCCAGCAATCACATGTTTTTCACATGAATAGCAAGTGATTGTTGGCCTTGGTCCTTATGTCGAGTGATATTGTAAGGGGTGACGAGTATTGATTGTCGGTTTATCTAATTAGCCATGACATATTGTTCATTTTAGCACTTACCACCATGTTAAAGTGAAGTTAAACTTTGTAGCTTAGTTGTCATAGCCTAGAATAATGCTCCATAAGGGGACGATAAGGGCCATTATACATTTCTGAGTCTACTTACCAAAAAACGTGCTTATCATATGAATTTTATATGCTATGTACCTATGTATTGCTGTCACATTGGCATTGTCAATACCTAGATGGTGAGAAAGAGAGATAAAGCTATAAATTAGAGCCCTGAAGCTGAAGAGCAACTGCTTAGGCGTCTAGGTGAGTTCAATTAATTGAACTCCGCCGGTACCACCCCGAATTGAGACAAATTCACGCAATGGACAACGGAGCTAAGTAACCATTTCAGCGTCCCACTTAGTTGGGATAAAGTTAAACAAAAAGCGGGGAGGTTGAAAAAAATATTTGACGCAGAGTTCCTACTTCGGACTGCTACTGGCCTTGGTTGGGATCCAATTGAGAGGAAACCAACCTGCACCGATCAATATTGGCAACAATTTGTCACTGTAAGTTCATCGTATGATTTCCGTAATTGTTGTATGCCTTGTTGTCTTACTTTACTTACATTAATCTTACCCCCTTCATCAGAGTAAAAGAAATATTCCATACTTTATCATTATTACTGTATATGCAGAGCCATCCTGAGGTTGAAAGGGCAAGAAGGAAGCCTTTAGCGGATTATGATTTGTATTACTGCGCATTTGTGAATTCACATGCCACTGGTGTAAATGAGTACGGCCAAGAAGAAACCCCTATAACTCCACCACATCCCCCAGAATCGATCCCAGGCAGCCCCATTGACATTGACGAAGGGTCCCAACACTTCAATGATATAGTCGATACTACATATATAGAAATGAGGCACAGTGTAAGCAGTGGTGGCCGAATCCCACATGTTGCCTCACAGTCCCGTTTAAATAATAAATGATCAAGTAGAAACAGTCAGACACGCGTACCAAACTTCATGGAGCGTGCCGTGGATTGCCTAATATTTATTGAAAATAGTGGTCGCAAACGAGCTAAAAGTTCCACCACACCGAATTCTGTTGAAAATGAGACGTTTAAGGACAAATGCATTGATTTACTTGGAGAGTTGGAAATACCTCAAGATCAATATCTTTTTATGTTGAACTTTTTTACGACACATGGTACACTTCAACGGCCATTTTTGCGCATGAAGGATCATCATCGGTTGGTTTGGATTCAACGGACGATGGAGCAACATGCAAATAAGTAAGTCCCACCTCCAGCACCAACCTACTTCATGCTTGGACCACAACCGCCATTTCAGTCTAGCAATCCAATGAACCAGCATTTCTCACACCCTTCCTTCAACCATACATGCCCCTGAACTTTCCACCATATTCCGGCCGAAATGGAAGAGATAGCGGTTGACATTCTCATCAACAACGTTATTGTGTTCTTCTTGTTCTTTTTTTAATTCATTCATTGTACTCTATGATTCTGAGACATTGGTATTTGAACTTGTTTTAGATGCATATTAACATTTGGTCCAATTTTGGGCTATTTGAGGACCATAGATATTTAGAATGTTTGTAAATATTGTTGGACTTGTTGTTGTTTAATGAGTATTTATTTTTGTTTGACATATAATAGATGACCAATATTACTTAAACAGGTGATGATCAAATACTTTGATATTTGCATATTTCTTAAACCCCTAAACTTTCATGTTATTAGTTGGAAACTTTGACAGACATGGATCACCATAGGAACGGTTGTCCAAGGCATGGATCACCAGACAACGATAGTGACGATGAATTTTTCAGGCAAGTTGTCGCGGCTGCAACTTTGTTATGCATTGGATTTGTATATAGAGAACCATCATGCCGAAAGCACACTTCTGGCTGGGGAGGTAGGCTTAAAGTGGATTACTATCTCAATGGGAGTCCAGAAGTGATTTACGACAAAGTTCGCATGAGTAGTGACGATTTTAAACGCCTATCTTCAATCCTTGAGGAAAGGGGATTACTGCAACCGACAGTCAACCTTAATGTTGATGAGCAATTATTCATATTCCTTACAATACTGTGTCAAGACCAAACTAATAAGGAGGAGCATGACCATTGGCAGCGATCGGGATCCACGGTATCAGAGTATTTCACGAAAGTTCTTGAAGCGGTTTGCCAATTAAAAACAAACTTCATACGGCATCCAGATTTTTCTACCGTGGATCCTCACATAATTGTAGGTGGAAACAAGTATTCACCGTGGTTCGACGTAAGTTACGAACTTATTACATAAATTTATTTATCTACTTCATAACTTTAGTCATATTTTATCACAAAATGAGTTTAACTAACACATAACATAACAACGGACATAATTTTGTTAATTTGAAGGATTGTGTTGCAGCACTAGATGGTACGCACGTTCCATGTGTGCCTCCCCGTGAAACGGCCGAACTTTACAGAAATAGGAAGAGGTTCTTTTCGCTTAATGTGCTCGCAGTTTGCTCATTTGGTATGAGATTTAGGTACATGCTATCTGGCTGGGAGGGTTCAGCACACGATGCGAGAGTACTTGCATCCGCCTTAGATCAACCGCGGAAACGATTTCCGAAGCTGCTACCAGGTAACTGAAACAAACGTCTCTTTCTACATCTACCTAATTCATAAGATGGCATTCAGAGTATAACTGTTGATTGTGATTACTTAAATACATGTAAGAAAATTCTACCTCGTTGACTCGGGCTACGCAAACAACGAATGTTTCATGGCACCATATCGGGGAACAACATACCATTTGCAAGAGTATAGGAATCGACATGGTAGAGGCTTCCGCAGTGAACGTGAATTGTTCAACTACACACACTCCTCCATGCGTAATGTAATCGAAAGAACATTTGGTGTATGGAAGGCTAGGTTTCGTATTTTGAAAAGCATTAACCGTTACCCCATTGAAAAGCAAGTTAAGGTTCTGGTTGCATGTGCTATAGTTCATAATTTTATCCACATGTACCGTAATAAAGATAGACTATTGGATCAGTACTCACAAGATGGCGTTCCGGTTGCAGACATTGATCCACAGAATGTTAAAGAGGTTATCAATGACAATAACAATCGCGAAAGACAACCAATGAATTATAATGTAGAATTGGAGATGAATGTGTTAAGGGATGCAAGAGCGCATACAATGTGAGCAATGTACCGTAATTGTCGTACGCACTAATAATAGTGTATGGAGAATTGCGATATTAATTATGTATATATTGTGACTATTTGCTCTCCATTTATAATGGAAACTCATCTTCTAGTAATTTTTTATATGGTATTTTAATTTATTAAATGAAGAAAATGTCTACGTTGTTTTTAAATTTATTACTATGATTCACTTTTATTTATTCAAATTAAATTGCATAAAATCAATTAAATGAAATAAATAAAAAAATTTCAGGATACTATTCACAACTCAAAATTAATTAAAACAAATACAAATTCAAATAGATTCTAATCTCAAATTTTAATTCAAATTATAATTTTAATTTAAGTTATAACTCAAACTAAACTCAAAATCAACTTTCAAATTACCTAACTCAAAAATGACAAAAAAACAGAGTCAATATTACCTTCAGCCAGCACATAAGGTGGTCCCAGACTCCCAGTTCACTGCATTCAGACCAACCCTCGTCCCATGCGTCCGATGTTGACAGATCCGACGGCCACAAAATCTCCACGATCCTCATCTCCAAACCTTTGATCCAACCCACTCCTCATGGCTTTTATTCCTCCACGTTCACCACTTGCAGAGCCGTTGATATCCGAAACACGCGACGGCTACAGATCGCTCACTCTTCATTCATACTCGCTCTTTCTCTCTCTCGCTCTTTCTCTCTCTCGTCTCAACTCATCGCGGCACTAATATCCCGCTCTTTTTCCCCTCTTTCTCTCTCTAAAATCTCTTCTCAAAATCAATTTCTCTCTCTCTTCAGATTGCAAGCGAAATGCAAGAACAAGCAACGAGTTCAATCGCAGCCAGCTCTCTGCCTTCAAGCAGCGAAAGATCCTCCAGCTCTGCTCTTCAAGTTGAAGTCAAAGAAGGTACGATTTTTTTTCTTTTTTTTTTCTTTTTTCTTTTACAACTCTAACTAATGTAATTATGCATTTGATTAAGTTTAGCCACGGTTGATACCTTTAATTCGTTGAATTTAATAATGCGTATCTTCAAAATTTGTTTTTTTTTTTTTTAATTTTCCCTGGAATTGCATTTTAGAAAACTGTCTTTAATCTCTTTGACTTGAAAAGCAACGGACGGTGACGATCTTATTTGATTGTTGATTTCATTTTCGTAAAGAAAAAATCTTTAAAAATTCTCTCTTTTATTTTTCCTGAAATATAGCGATGGAAAGCGATGAGGAGATCAGAAGAGTTCCCGAGATCGGCGGCGAATCGGGCGGAGCATCGGCTTCTGGCAGAGATACCGGTTCGGTGGGCGGTCCGGACCGGGTCCTGGTCGCAGGGGAAGGGCAGAGAAAGAGAGGAAGAAACCCGGCTGACAAAGAGAGCAAGAGGCTAAAGAGGTAAAAATGGATAATTGTATTGCAATATATTATTATTTGCATTTGTTCTTCTGCTCTTTTTGGCCTTTATTTTTGGGGCCAGTGGCAGTTATTGTGTTCTTTTTTTTGTCCCTCAAACAAAAAAAAATGTAAATTAGATTGCTGAGGAACAGAGTTTCAGCGCAACAAGCAAGGGAAAGGAAGAAGGCGTACTTGAGTGACCTGGAAACTAGAGTTAAAGATTTGGAGAAAAAGAACTCTGAGCTTGAAGAGAGACTTTCCACTTTGCAGAATGAGAATCAGATGCTTAGACATGTATGTCCATCCCTATCCATCTTTGCATCATCATCATCATCATATGCTCGTAACAGAACATCAATACATGCATCATCCTCAATTTCTGGGCAATATGTATGCATAAGCGTGTTGTCAGGTCCCATTGGTGGGACGGTCCAACCATCGTAATATGTAAAAATAAGAACGTAACATATATTTAACGTAAATAGATATCGTGTAACATAATATTACATTTATTTAGTGTTGAAAGGCCTAACACTAAGAAATTAAGTTATTCTAGTTTATTTTTACAATTTAATTTAGTTTTGACATAATAAGGACGTTAAAATGGCGTAATAATGACAGGAGATCACTAATTATCTTGGTGTCTTACAATTTTAGCTGTCACAATTTTAGCATTGATGTTCAATTAAATAAATATTATATTACATTTTCATTTCTATAAGTTATAATGACGGGACCGTCCCATCGGTAGGATCATAGACTAACCCTTATATTTTGAGAAATTAACATCTCCATAACTATAACAAATTTAAATATATTTAATAATAGCCGGCAATCATCATAAAGTGTTGAGTCTGTTCTTATATGATTTAAGTGATGGTATGCCTATTCGTATGTGGTCTTAATTTGAATCATTGATGACTGATGAGAATTCGCTGGTAGGACCACCTGACCAAACCCATCACTCTATTATTGATAACTCGTCCCCTTTCTTGTCTGGGTTAAAAAATAATAATAGCAATAGTTACTTATTGCTTGAAGGCAAAAAGTAATGATAATAAAAGTAATTGCTTTTATTTTTCTGTATCTTCTCTTTTGACATCATTATTCTCATTGTTTCCGGTAACGTGGCATGAAAAATTTATTTTCTTTTACCGAGATGATCATGACGTCTGTCCTTATAACTTGTGCTGCGCAGATATTAAAGAACACAACGGCGGGTAGGAGAGGAGGTAGTGGTGGTTCAAACGCTGATGGTTTGTAAGGGAGGAAGAGAGTTGACTTAGGGAAGCTAAGGGGAAACAGAAATGGTATAAGAGAGCT